TCTTATACTAAAACCAGGTAAAACCAGGCCCTCCAGGCTAGAGCGTATTTTGCCGAGAAGGGGTTCCAGGGAGAGTGTATAGAGCATCCCGGACAGAGCACAACCCTGCCGGACTCCTCTACACACTCTAAAAGGAGCACACAGACTATCGTTTATCTTCAGCACACTCTCAATGTCCCTGTACAACACTTTGATCTTAGCTATGAAACCAGAGCTGAACCCAAACCTCCCCATGACTTTCCAGAGGAAGTTGTGCTCAACGCGGTCAAAAGCCTTTTCCTGGTCTAGAGAAATCAGACCAGTGTTATTACCCAATGAGCTGGAGACCTCCAAAACGTCTCGAATAAGGTAGACATTGTCTACCATGGACCTGCCGGACACACAGTAGGTCTGGTCCCGATGGATGACCTGCTCCATAGCTTCCCTCAGCCTGGAGGCAAAGACCCTGGACAGAAGCTTGTAATCCACGCACAGCAGGGACACAGGGCGCCAGTTGCCGATGTCCTGCAGGTTCCCCTTCTTCGGCAGTAGTGTTATCACCGCTCTGTGGCAGGACATTGGCATGGAACCAGAGGCCAGACTCTCATTAAAAACCTCCAGAACATCAGGTGCGAATATATCCCAGAATGTTTTAAAAAATTCTGCGGGGAATATATCCCAGAATGTTTAAAAAAATTCTGCGGGGAGGCCGTCGATGCCAGGAGCACGCCGTCCCTGCACGACCTGCAAGGCGGCCTTCAGCTTCTGCACCGTTATGGGTCGGTCGAACGCTTTGTTCGTCTCCTCAGAGACTTGAGGTAGTCTGCTCACGAACTCCTCCGTCAGTGCTTCCTCCTCCCTGTACTCACTGGTGTAGAGGGAAGAGTAAAAGCTGACCACTCGCCTCCTAATCTGGCATGGTTCCACCACCGGCATCCCTGTGTCTGCCAACAGTGCGTAGATCACCCTCCCCTGCCCACTCTTCCTCTTCAGGCCGAAGAAAAAACTAGAGGGAGTGTCCATCTCCGTGATGGTCTGGAATCGGGACCTGACCAGTGCACCCTGAACTTTAACGTGTAACAGGTCGGTGTTGTGTTCCAAAATGAAGAAACGCCAGACGGACAGAGGTCATCGCTGATCAAAAGGTTAAATCGAATGTATTTAATAAAAGAGATGGCGTTGCGGTAAAAAGAACATCTCAGCTGAGGAGCCGCTGGTCTCAGCGACCAACAGGCCCCAGGTCAGTCCTTTTGGCCATCCCTAGTGCCCGCCTGTAGCCTCCACCAGCGAACTCGAGAGCAATAGTTCCTACAGGTATTTATAACAATGCTTAAAGGTGTGAAAGTCAGTGTCCACACCTCTAGGAGTGGTCTTCTGGTGAGTTCAATGTAACTCGGATTTCACATGATCCTTAGTCAATATCAGTTGTTGTGCAAGTATTAAATGAAGCTTAGGCGAAAATTCAGTCAGGAAGACTGGACAGGCTGTGGCGTTCCCTGGTGGCCTCCTCTCTCCCTGGTGGCCTCCTCTCTCCCTGGGGGCGCACGGCCAGCTGATTAGGGGCGGGGTCGGGTAGTATCAGACGTGGGTGTCGTTACCGTAAACCAATCGCATTGGGGCAGGCAAACGTTAAAAACTGTTCTCCTCTCTTGTGCTGTCAGTTGTCATTTCAGCACGCTCCAAAGGTGACCCGCCACCACCCCTGACACCTCCAATCTACAGCAGAACCTGGCATAGCAGGAGAGTTATGCAACTTGGGCTCTACCACCACCACCACCACCAGTGTCTGGACTCCCAAGGGGGGGATATGCCTCGTCTCGGCTCGAGTTCCCGGCCCCGGGTCTATCCTGCGGCAGGATGGAGTCCAAGCCCCAAACAACTTGCAATATCATATTATACCTGTTATAATAAAGCATTGTTCAAATTTCAACAAGTCTCTCCGGATTGAAATGCATGCATTCCAGTTGATTACATTGCATCAAATACAATCATAACTGCACATTGGTATTATTCTATTACAGTTGCAGAATTACAGTGGTTTTACAAGATTGTCATTACTTTATTGATTACACAGTTTCAGAATCATGGCTGTATTCTGGTGTACACTATATGCATTTTTATAAATTTTATGAACCGGATCGTCAATTTGTTTCTAATATCCTACATCGGCCAGAGCCATTTTTTTGATCTTGAGGACTTCAAAATGTCCTCGCTCTCCTGTGGACTCGTTTAAACGCTCTAGTTCCACTATATCAGTCTCCAGGTCCTTCATAGATCTGGTGATGTCTCTGGTGACGTTGAAAGTGTGCTGCTGACAAAGAAGCCTAATCTCTATCTTACCGCCACTGCCTAAGACTCCAAAAAACACTCCAAAAATATGAAAGGACCGCTCTAAAATTCTTATCAAATGTTAAACCAGAGTTAAAATGCCAGTACGCGCTTTTTGGCAAAATGTTCCTAATAAAAACATTACATACCAGCAGAGAATGATCTGAGAAAACAGCCGGTACAATGGTACACATTTTAAAAATATTAAAATGGTGCTTAAAAACATAAAACCGATCAAGCCTGACTGAGGAGATTCTACCTTCTCTGAGGTGGGACCACGTGTACTGTCGGCAGTCTGCATGCATCCTTCTCCACACATCCACCAGGCCATGAGACCGGACCAGCTGCCTCAGAGCGTGCTGGGAAGCTGGATGTGGCTCTGCGTAGTTGCGGTCTATAGTCGCATCTTCTGTGCAGTTAAAATCCCCCCCCAAGAATAAAAAAATCCTCCGGGGCACAGCCATCTAAAAGATCATTAACTTTTGTTAAAAAAAGCTTCCTCTCTGTACCGATTGTTGGATCATACACATTGATAAAAACAACAGTAAAAAGGTTGAACCGCGCCTTGACTAAAAACAACCTCCCCTCGATGATGTGTTTGACCTCCAGGGAGACTGGCTTAAACTACCTGGAGAAGAGGAAGCCCACTCCTCCACTGAGGTTGGTGTCGTGGCTCAGCAGGACTTCCCCTTCCCACTCCCTCCTCCAGTCGGCCTCGTTGGTGCTGTCGCTGTGCGTCTCTTACACGAAGATATGGCGTTATATTTGTGCCACAATCCTGAGCGCGTAATTTTAAGTTTTGAGCACAGAGAACTATATTTTAGCAAAGAAAAACATATTCCGTGCGCGCATTTTACTCAGGTGCCCTCTCCACAAACTCGTTTTCATAAATAGATGCCCTCTTCTTGGCATCTCTGGCTCCATTCACATTCAGGCTTCCCACTTTTAAAGTATCCATGATAAATAAAAAATAAATAAATAAAACACAAATAAAAACCAATAAATCAATTCAAACTCACATTGGGGCTTTTTTCGTGATCATCGTTGATTGCTCGTTTTGCTTTCAGCACAAGTTTTTTCAGTCTAAAACCCTCTTGATCTGTGAAGCCAGACTCCTCTCGCTGGCTCATGCGGAGTCTGGCTGAGTTATAAAAACACACCAGGTCTGGGAAAAACTCCTCAATTTTCAGATTCCTCCTATTTTTGACTTTCTGTAAAAACATTTTGATTTGCTCTGCGGAGTAGAGTTTTTCCGTTGGCTGTGTGTCAGACAGGCGCTGTGGATGTCGCTGCTGTCCGACACACAGCCCTCACTCTCACTGCCGTCAGATTGCCCCTGACCCCCCATGGCCTCCTCTTCCTCCCCCACCTTGCTGGCTTTTGCCTCGCTGCCTGTATCTTGCCTCTTTATTTTCTGTTTTTGTTGCAGCTTTTTGTTCTCTTGCTTCCTCCTCCACCATCTCAACCTCTTCCGCCTGTTCCACCCCCCCATTCAGTCCTCCCCCCCAACTGTGTTGTTGCAGATTTTTATGGCACCTGACTCCTGTTCCACACTAACCTCCCCCCCCTCACCCTTTTCCTTTCCTTCCCCCCATCCTCACCCTGTGCCACCTCACCCAAAGCTCCTCTCTCACCCACCAAAACACCCTCATTCACACCGTGCACAGCTTCCATACTGCCCCCGTGTAGGTCAGACACAGCAGCGCAGGGGCCCACGGCCCGCGGAACCGCAGATCCCACAGCCCGCGGCACCGGAAACGGAAACGGCCGTGGCCAGAACCGCGGCCGGAGACCCCCCCGCCACAGCAACGACTCGGTTCACCTTCCCCACCTGGTCTAGAAAAATGACTACGGCCCCGTTCATCCGAGCGGCCGATTTCACGCTGCTGTGCCCGACTATTTCCCCCACAGCCAACCCGATGTCCTCCACGCTGCACGGAAAGCCGCCGCTGATCTTGATGCCGTGCTTTCGCGTGAGGTGGGACAGATTTTCCCCATTTACCATGGCGTCCTAGGACGCCAACCGGCGAGACACCGGCAGGAGAAAAAACACCCCATACACAAACCACACTCCCCCCAAAAAGATTGTAGGGGCCATTATGTGTTGTTGTTGGCAAAGTATATTTTGTTTGTTAGACTGTATTTATATTGACCCGTTGGACACTAGGTGGCGGTGATTAGGTGCACATGGGTGTACATAAGAGACGTAGGTGAGAGGAAGCGAGGGACAGGTAGGGGAGCACCAGGCAGTTCTCACCAGACCACGAAGACAGACCACCATCAATAGAACCACGTTCAACCGGTATGTTCATCTGTTTATACAATTGCCTGCAATAAATTACAAACCTCAACCACAATCATCGCTGGAAAATCTTTGGTGTGTCTGCGTCGAAACATCACTCCCACCTGTGCCTGATGGCAAAGAACAACGAGCCAGCTAAAGGGGCAGCAAACCTAAGCGTGCCATTACAAAGATTAAACCAAAAACTATTGTGAAACCCAACTAACTAACCACATGAAATTATTACACGTAATCTAGGGACAAGAACAAGAAAGTTCGCTCACCGACTCACTCACACACACTCACTCTCAGTATGCACCGAGAGAGAGACACGCAGGGAGGGAGAGAGAGGGAGGGGGAGAGAGCGAGAGAGAGGGAGAGGGGGAGAGAGAGGGGGGGGGGGGGGGGGAGAGAGAAAGAGACAGATGCACTGCAGGTGAAGTTATCAGGCGGTGAGAATGAGGGGACGTCGCCTGAAGCCACTCTTCTCTTTGGGGATCGCTCTCTTCTTTTTGGGGATTCTGCTGACCGCTCTCGTCTGGTACAATGGCAACAAGTAAGTCTGTGTAGCTGCATTTTCTCGACCACACGGCGCTTTCCTCATGCTGTCTGACTTGTGTTGGAGGTGTAAAAGTGGAGACAAAATGCCCCGTGCACAATTCGTGTACGTCTCGATGGTCTGTTTGACCCTTAAGTGCTAAAAAAAAATGGAATGGAAATACTTACGGAAAGGGGCAGACATTTTTTGTTGTTTTTTGCCGAGAGAACGAAAGTCAAATAACGAGTAGATTTTGTTTTTTTGTAAAGTTCTTTTTTGTTTTTGTCCGTAAAAGTTGCGCAAAGTGCGACAGCTATGCCGGAAAAATGATTATTTCATGGACCTATATGAATTTTGAAGCATGACATTTCATTGTGGAGGCCATAACTAGGGTCTCGGACGTGTTGACAGCATCAAAGGTGACCCCAAAACAAATGAAGATCCCCGAAAATCTTGTTTGTTTACAATGATGATAGAGATCCACCTGGGGGGGAAGCGCTTGCGCAACACTAGCTCACCGTCCTTTAACCGACTCTGGTACAAGCAAAGGCTCACTTTTATAATAAAAACAGCATCTAGCTCGAACGGCAAGAAGTTTAGCTTCAGTTTAACACCATCAAATCATCTGAAACCGTTTACAACGGTTGCTAAAAACGTCCTAAATGCAAAGTAGAATAACTGATATAAAGTAATCAGTGACAAATTGTAAATTGGCTTATTTGAGGAAATTGTTCTTTCTTGTTTTTCTGAGTTTTTACCCCTATGGTTGAATGCACTCATTGTAAGTCGCTTTGGATAAGAGCGTCAGCTAAAAGACATGTAATGTAATGTAATCAGTGTGGCCAATACGATTTGCATTTGCAACTAAATCAACCTGGTTGCCAAACCTGTCCTCTTAGTTTAAGAACACATCGCTCGTCGTTGCTCAGGGTAAATGTTGCTCTGTTTGTACTCAAGCAATTCAGCAAAGCATCGGCAAATGTCAAATTAACTTTATCATTTAATACTTTTGTATGGATTTGACTAATTCACATTAACTTTTGCACGGTGTATTTTTCTTTTTTTTAAGTCTGAGGAGAATTCTAATTGTCGAATGTGTAAATACATTTTCTCATTATTATTGAAATTATTATGGTCTGAATATAATTAGAAAATGTGGGGGTGAATTTTATTCATACTTATACATTTAGAAAGTATGTTGAGATGGGTACCAATTGATGAGTAACGCCAAATCACTGACCAGCACGATATCTTCTCCTCAGCAAACAAAAAAATTCTAACAGTCATGAAATATAGTTTCTAGACGAGACATTTTGTTCAATCTTTATGGTATGCAGTGCTTGCTGATAAAAAAACATGTATCACTTCAGCCAGCAGGACTTCATGTGAGCCACTTTATTTCAATATAACATAAGACATTAAAATACGTACATCTGAATGCTTCATTTGTATCCCTGAGATCAACATTTGACTCTCTTGTCCCTTGTTCTTCTTGTTTGTGCCACAGTAACGTGGAAACTCGACAGCTGTCTCTTGAAAAGAAAAGAGCCCCTCCGCCTTCTGAACTTTGTAAAGGCTGCAGGTCAGAGCAAACACAGTCACTAACGTTGTTTTTAAACCTTCATTGTATCAAGACATGTCACCGCAACAAGGATTACAATGTGTGTGTGTGTGTGTGTGTGTGTGTCACAGACAGGTCATCGACAAAGTAAGAGAGCGTTACAATAAAACCTGGATTAAGCAGGTGGACGATTACCTAGAATTCAGGTAAGAGAAAAGGACATAATTTCAAACTTTTCATTCAAATTTAATACAGAATTTGAAACATAATGATAGAGTTTGACAGAATTGCAAACGATTGTCCATGCAAACTGGACCTGGGTCCATGGTCGCAGGAATTGTACATTGTGCACTGTCACAGTCCATGAATGTACAATGGGTGAGATTTAAAAGGTACTTTAAATGAACTGTGCATTAAGCTGTGCTTAATGGTGCACATGGAACAACACTATTTGTCTCAGTTGGTTATTTAAGGGAGCTGTCAGAACAAACCAAAACATAAAGTATTTAAGATTAAGATTAAGATTTGTCCTTCTACTTTTCAATTCCTACAATTTACTGGATTTAGTAAACTATGAATATTCCCTCAGACTTTCCAGTATGTTATTCAAGTCTCTGGTTCCACAGATCTCAGCTGAGCAGAAAGTGCCATGGTTTTGACAGTGCATTCATCACCCAGTACAACACGCCAGTTGGAGCAAAGATTGTGTATGATGGAGAAAAGACGCGCACCCTCCAGGTGACCCCGGAGATTTTCAGCACCTTCCCAAAGGTACATTATCATTGCGCAGTAAGGATGATGGCAACCATACATATAATACAATGAGCAAAGAAAACACGTGATACAAACATAAGTTAAGTTAAGTTAAGCAATGTCAACAGGTTTTTCATGCTTAACATGCGTCATTGGGCCAATTCAAACACAAATGATAGTTTCAGGTTGTCGGTTCCAGAGGTTGGAGAGCAACATTCCTAAGATGGCAGAAATGACTTGTTAAATGAGAGAATGAACACGTCTGAGTAATAACGATTCAGAGTTAAAGAGTCAGAATGTGAAATACAGGACTGAGCCACACTTTGTGGCACGTTCAATGTCTTTCACAATCATTCTTGTTCAGTCTCCGGAAGTGACCATCACGTCACTGTATGACCATTCCATGCTTTTAAATATTATTATTAATAATTCTCTTCATTAATAATTCCAGGAGCATCCATTTTCAAACAAAATATGGGGAACATGTTCCGTTGTTGGGAACGGTGGGATCCTGTCCAACAGCAGCTGTGGAAAGATGATTGATTCAGCAGAGTTTGTTATGAGGTTAGAAAAAGGACATTTAAACAGAATTAAACTCATCTCTTTAGAAATAAGCAAGAAATAACAACCCTGACATCTTCTGTGTGGCTTGTTCAGGTGTAACCTACCTCCCTTGGACAACGGCTATGAGAATGATGTGGGGATCAAGACTGACCTCGTGACAGCAAATCCAAGCATCCTCATTAAGAAGTGAGTGACAGGACAAATCTCTGCCCCTTAAAACGTCTCCTTTTTGTCATGGTGCTTCACATCTGCTGTTCATTTTACAGATACGGGTCTCTGCAACAGCGTCGGCGTCCGTTTGTGGAAAGTCTGCGTAGCTATGGCAACTCTTTGCTGCTCCTTCCCGCCTTCTCCTACGGCTTCAACACGCCTTTGTCCCTGCGGGCCGTGTACAGCATTGAGGACTTTAAAAGCCCCACCCGGCCTGTCTTCTTCAACCCAGAGTATCTGGAGAGTTTGGGCCTCTTCTGGCGCTCCAGAGGCCTAAAAGCAGTACGTGCCAGCACCGGCCTGATGATGGCGAGCTTGGCGCTGGAACACTGTACCGATGTGCATCTTTATGGGTTCTGGCCCTTTGGTAATCACCCCCAGGGACTCCATGCGCTGACTAACCACTACTACGATGACGTACAACCTAAAAACACAGTCCATGCCATGCCGGTTGAGTTTGAATTCTTGTTGCAGCTGCATAGTCAGGGGGTGCTCAGGCTTCACCTGGAAGATTGTCAACCAGGTGAAAAGTAGTTCCCAAACCCAGCAGAAGGGCCGGGGAGAAGTGCCTCGATTTGTAGCCCACTCGCTTATAAAGTCTTTCATATCATTTTGAATGAACGGACAGATAATTTGGGCTCATGACATGTGTCCAAACACTAGGTGGGTTTGTATGTGTGGATCTGCTATTGAACAGAGGCACGGGGCCCATGTGCATGTTGATGTAAGGGTGCATATGGGTGAGTGCTTGGTGATGGGGACAAGTGTGTATGTGTGTGGATGGGAAGCAAATTATTTTTTTACCGTGTCTCAACCTGACGTGTCACATGTCGTCATATGATGAAGGGGATTGTAGTGGCCATTTGTCCTTGGGATCAATAAACAATTGTGTCAAAGGGCCACTCGTGCACCACTGGTTTGTTTCTTTTACGCAGAAAGAGAGCGGATTGTCTGAGCAGGCTTTCCTTTTATTTCTTATTTGTTTTGCAAACATAACGGGCAAGGCCGAGGAGCGGAGCAACAAAACAAATGAAAGAAAGCTGCTCACTGCAAGAGAAAAAATAAAGCATATTGCCCAGTAGACCCGTGTTTCCGTGGGTCCTTGACAAAACCCAACGGTGGTAGCTCCATCTCGGCTACACAACACTATTTAAGAATAAACTAATTACTAACAAGCATCCATTGATTACATTTCTTCAGACCGTACGTAGCATTGGAACCTCATGTAAGAAATATGCTGATGTAGAGCATTTGCAAATGCATGAATCCATCATATATATGCTGTTGTCTTATTTTATATTTTTTTTATATTAGATGCAGCAGGTGCACATATCTCATAATATTTAAATATACTATTGAATATTGAATATATAAATATTTCACATATGTGTTGTTGTGGAATATTTCAATAAAAGCTCGGTAGAAGAGAATGATTTGTCTGATAAAACAGAGTCTTGATGAATGATCAAAGTTGCAAAAAGTCCATTTATTGCTTGCAAGCAGGAGGTCAAATACACAGGCACGTATCACGGTGCTCTGTGGAAATGGCGTCCCCGAGCAGTAAGAACGCTGAGTTTTTATACACATGTAAAGGACATTCTCCGTGCCAGTTACGAGAAGCTGCAAAGCAGGTTGAGATAAGAACCCAGGTGAAGCTGAGGGTAGCACACACACACAAGATCCTCCTCAGTGGCCGGTGCAAATCATTATTAATTGACATAAAAGTAAAACGTGGATCCGGAACTTTTGTACCGAATAAGATATGAACTAAGGCTATGAACAGAAGTCCTTTGTTTTGAAGCTTCTATGAGATCAAGTCGACCGTCCTCCCTTCTCAGCGCACAGCTGCAAACTAACATTTTGTATCATGCTGCTCTTTGCACATCAGGGTCAAATACAGGACACTTTAGCTTTAGCACAAAACAATGTTATAACATATTTTACCATTACATTCCACTCTTTTGATTATTCTTTAATCACACATAATATTACAACAACAAAAAAATGTTTTTTTGTGAGACCAAGTGTCAAACATAAAATATAGAACACCAGTAACAGAAACATAAGAAAATAAAAATCTGGAAACAAGTTCCCCCTGGCCTCGTGAGAGGGTTCCATGGGCATTGTCGCTCCATGATAAGAGAAAAACACTCTTTAGGTAGCTGACTACAGAATCACAGAAATATATTTGAAACTGAAGCAAGCAATAATATGAATAATACCGTGGAGACACAAACGACTCCTGTGTCTATGTGGAGGGGTCCTGGCCGTGTTCTTCTTCTTGTGTTGGTCCGCAGGTACACGTTGGGATGTGGAGTCTGCCAACCTTCTTTCTTTTGAGGCATCCGCGTTGTAGACAGTCAACACAGATCACAATGCACTGTGTGTCTGTCGGTCAACTGCCCGTTGTGAACCCGTCCGTGGTCACTGGATCGGTGGTGTCGGTTGATTGACACTTGATGTGGGGGTAGGGTCGCCTGAGCCCACTGCTGGTACTGGATCTGGAACCTTCTTGCAATGGGATGCGTGGACCCAAGTTGCCCTTTCAGCTACTTTGACAGCTGTTTGGGTGACAAGGAGGACCTGGAATGGTCCCTGCCAGCGTCGTGCTTTCCAGTTCTTTCTTCTGAAGTCTTTCACCACCACAAAGTTTGCGGAGCGGTCCTTCAGCTGGTTTTGGAAGGGCGGCTGCAACCTGTTGTCGTATGTTAGACAAAGCATAAGAGAGTTGTGCACAATATGTTAACCTTTCATGTTCGCATAATGCGGTTGAAGGGAGTGGTGCCGTTGGTGCCTCGGTTCCTACGTGAGGAGGAAAACCAAACAGTATCTCAAAAGGACTAGGTTGCTTCGTGTTTGTTTTCTCATGCGTACATCAACACTAGAGGCAGGGCATTTGTCAGAGCGATGAGCTTGGCTGCCTGGGCTGAGAGGTGACATGGCAGAGGACCTGAACACAGCAGACCAGAGTCAGAAACAACAGCAAAACCAACACAATTTTCACCAGACTGAGGATCCATCCACATACATTAATATGTCGCTGTTAGAGGAGTGTCCACTAGGTCAGGGCGAGGAGTGCACAGAGCTTGGAGCTCAGCCAAACAGTTGTAGTCCTCCCCATCCCCAGGAATAGGAAGTAAGGATGCAGGTTTAAGGTTAGTACAACGTTTTATAGTGACATTCGGCATGTCCAGGAGACATGTGTATTACCGCAAATAGCGAGCAGCATGTCCTATATAGGTGCGCAATAAATTGTGGCTACGCTACGGCTTTCGATATGGCTTGGTAGATCTCGATACACTATCAACTTTAAAAGTAGATCTTGGTTCAAAAAAGGTTGGGCACCCCTGCACTAGGTCGTCTTCGACAAAAACCCGTTACTCCACCCGTTGTTCTGGAGGTGAATTGCTCTGCAACACACGCAAAACTTTTTGAACCATGAATTGAAACGAGTGCGTCGACGCAACGACGCAGACGCAGAAGCATTCCAGCCTTTAGAGTATCTTATTTTCCCCGTAAAGATGGTTCAGCTACTGTAAAGAAAGGGGCACCGTCTCTCGCTCTTTAATCTCATGAAGTGCTCGGCAAGAACAACAGCTTTGTTTCTCCGATGCCCCCTGAAACAAGCTCCATATCTGACGCGCTTGAGCGCCGCTCAGCATGTCGCCGTCGTAGACCGAGCTTTGGCATGTTTGGCAGAGCGCCGTGTACAACCAGTATGGATCAACCGATTAACCAATTGATCCATATATAAGGCGCTCCGGATAATAAGTCATATTTTGAGAAAATTAGAGGCTTTTAAGTGCGCCTTAGTGCGGATAATACGGAATATATGCTGTCTTATTTTATATTTTATACATTAGATGCAGCAGGCGCACATATCTCATAATCGTATTTAAATATAATATTGAATATATTCATATATAAATATTTCATATTTTCACATATGTTCCCTACTGTAGAGCATCCAGGAGTTACGCAGAGGACCAAACATCTGGATGATTCTTTTTACCGAGAAACAAAAGAGAACAGGAGAGAACTATGGCTCCAAATGTTTTTAAAGCACAGAAAACATGATTTTCCTGACTCGCTCCGCTGTCGCTGGTGGAATGCAGCAGGGGGGTTGAAATTCCTGTCAAGGGTTTCAAATGATCTCGATTCTCCAGGTGTGATCCAGGTGTGATTAGGTCAAACCGACGTTTGCGGAGATCTCCCTCCATGAATCGAAGGCCATCTGCGCATCCTTATAGTCCGCCAATGATGGGTTGTAGAAGTGGTCGTATTTATGGATTTCTTCTGACAAAATCTCATTCATTCTCTCATAAAAAAATCTTTGTTTCAATAATGATGTATTGTGCTATGATACCGGAAATGTGAGACTAGAAAGGATGCAGTTAGCAGACCAATCACAACCTTGCGGGCTGCGAGAGGCTTGCGTAGCTTTTGACGCTAGTCTAGAAAAGTGGATCGACGCACGCAAGGACGCAAGGAAGCAAGGAAGCAAGGTCGCAAGCATGCAAGGAGGGGTGAAAAGGCACGCAAGGGACACGAAAGGGGCTCTTGCGTCTGCGTGTCCTTGTCTCTCTGAAAACGCAGTGCTTCACGCTGGATTACCTTCTGTCTCGCAATGCGTAGGTCGAGTCTTCATACCAACAAAGTCACCTGTGACCTCAGATGACCTCCCGTCACGTATAAGTACCGGTGTCATCCTGAGATCAGTCCTACGGAATCTTCCGCAAGATCATGGGATTCCGAGTGACTAAGAACTCTGGCGGTCATCCAGGATTCCTAGAACCATAGTTACATACGTAACTTTCATTCCATTTCATCCTTATGGAAATGTCGAATAAAGCAGAAGCTCTGACGTCTACGACGTAGTCTAAAGATAGTATGCCTTTGCATCATGTGAGTTATGGTAACCCCGGAGATTGTCACCATTCTCCCAAAGATACGTTATACGCAGTAAGGATAGATGCAATCATACACATAACTAGAAAATGCATTTCCTGCAGAAAATACATTAGAATGCTGAAAGGAATTTGGAAAAAAATGCTGATTATACAGAAATGGGTGAAGCTGAAGGGAATTGATAGATTTGCTGAAAATTCAGAAATGAGAAAAGCTGAAATGAATTTTAAAAAATACAGAAATTAATATTAAAACATTGCTCTTAATACAGACATCAGAAAAGCTATTTTAAAGAATTATTGAACCTACAGAAATTGGAAAAGCTGAAATGAATTTAAAAAGCTGTTGAAAATATAGAAAAGGCAGAAACTGAAATGAATTTGGAAATACAAAAATAAAACATGTATTTTTTGTAGTAATAGTATTAGTTGTACTTGTAGTACTAGTACTAGCAGAAGTAATAGTCGTTTTAGTATCAATAGCAGTAGAAAAACTAGAAGTAGTAGTGTTAGTTGTAGTACTAGTATTATCAGCTTTAATACTAATACTATTAGTCATAGTATAGGTGAAGTACACACCTTCATCCAGGTGCCCTCAAAAACTCATCAGGGAGCCGCACACACACCCACATGCTTAAGATGACAGCCAGAAGGGTGTGATCCTAAGGCATGTGAGAGAGAGCTTCAGCCACAATGTTGTCACGCCCCTTTTTTGCGACTGATTTCCAAATTGAAGTTCTGAACCATAGGTGCCCAATGCATGCTAAAGCCTCTTTTTCAATTGTGCTGTACTTACGTTGGGCTGCCGAGAACTTCTTAGAGAAGTAGCACACCGGGTGGTCAATGCCAGCAGAGTCTTCCTGAAGCAATACCGCACCAGCACCACTTGAGTCAACCTCAAACTTGAATGGCACTGTAAAGTCTGGAGCTGACAGAACTGGGGAGCTGCACAGAAGCGCTGTAACAGTTGTGAAAGCCTCCTTACACACTTCGTC